CTGATCCTAAACCAATTGTGAGGGGAGAACTTATCATATATTGTTGGTCTGATGCATACACATGCTGCTATATGCAATTTAGAAAATCTTAGACCAACACATGAAGCTTTGTTCTCATAAACAATAGTTTAGCCATTAATAGGAGGTATTCACCTAAACTAGCTTGTATATAAACCAACATTATCAAGATGAACTGTCTTGATTTCATAATCTGAAAATTATGCTCTTAAGTGAGAAAAGCAATTTCAAATGTCAAACTGCAGGTTGACAATAAACATACATGTAACCATCTTATATATGCATCTATAAGTGGTTCGCATGATAGGTGAATGGGCACATATTCACCTTTTATATATTTCAGAATTAGGGACCTTAGTCCCAACTTCAGCTGGTATAATCAATTTATTATGAGAACAAAACACAGGAGAATTCTTGAAGAATCTTCTAGTTCTTTGGTATATGCTTATCTGAATTCTCAAATAGCTCATTTAAAATGGCAAATGAAAACTTCAAGTTTATCATGGCATGTGCTATCTCTTAGTAAATTTCTGGTTTACTATGACATAAACTTTTGCATTAGTAAACTTCTGGTTTACTATGATACATGATGTAGTACAAATTGAAGAATAAATCGGGTAACTTCTCATATACATATTATTTTACCCCCTATGATTGTGGAAACGTGAAGATTTTCAATCTTCCAATCATTTGTAGTCTCAATATGATAGCCAGTTGTATTAGTAAACTTCGGGTTTGCTACAACATATATTTTGACCACAATCATATAATATGAATGACAAATTTGCATATAACCTCTTCGGGAACCTTCAATTTATTTTCCACAATCAAATATTATTCAGACACTACTTGTATCATGTGTCTTCTAGATAAATAGTTAGCTCTTTAGGAGCTTTTGATAAATTTTGTACTACCAAATAATGCTTAGACACTTCTGGTGTCGTGAGAGAAAATCATAATTAAATTAACAATATAAAGACAATTCTAAATTTATAAATTTAAGAAATTAAGAATTTCAGTATTTTTACCACCAACTTTGTGACAAATATCTCCTTCAGGGAGAAACGCCATTAACATCTAAATATTTTATATCAAAGCGGTAACCACATAGTCATTACATCCTTCAGGGAAAGATACATGAGTTGTTATTTTCTTCGGGAAACTCGATAACTAACAATAACATATTAATATGGTTGTAGTAGAGAGCATTCTACAAGAATACTTTTGCCTTGGAATGATATTTAATAAAATTTTCCAAGATATTTTACGTACAACGGGTCTGTGCGACAATGATCTTTATGCCAGAAAAAAAAGATTTATATCCTTTGTTATTCTACCTCTTCAGGAGGTGAGTTGTGGTATTTCTTCATTCACTCCAGGGAATGAAAATGTGCTTCAAAAATAACTTTGAATAGCTTATTAGTTTGTTTAAGCACAAAAAGACACAGTTTCATAATATTTTCCTGCTTCAGGAGAAAATTTCAATTGTGTTACTTCTTCAGGAGCAAATTTACAAATCGAAATATTGAATATATATTCCCTCAATCATATTACCTCTTCTGGAGGTGAATTGTAATATATTCACATCAAAAGCGCGTTCATATCAAAAGTTCTCATCCTTCAGGGAACAGAACATAATTATTTTAACGTGCATTAATCACACCAAATTATGTGACGACTTAGAACCTCTTTTAAGATATTGCTACTTCATGAGCAAATCGAGGCATGCAAGTAATATAGAGAAAATTTCTCTGACTTATCTTCAATTGTAACCATAGAAAGCCTAAATTATCACTTGTGATGGTTATAGGCATCTACCACTTCTGTGGTTAACAAAATTTAGTTACAATGAGATGTACGAAACATAACCACTTCTGGTGGTTATATATTTCTTGCAATCTCCGCTGGAGTTTAAGTGGATCTAACAATGTTATCCACTTTATAATCCTTTATTAAGATAATTAGGATGAAAAAAATAAATACCAAAATAGGTACTTTATACGTAGCATATAACCAAGCAAGCGATAATAAAGATATTAAATCAAATATAAGCGAAAGACTCAAGTTACTTTACACAAATTTGGCCACTCCAGACGTAAGTGATATCCACATCTCTACCGCCAAGAAGAAAAGCTCACCACCTCAAGGATATAATCTGCCTTATGATGCTCGGAATGAACAAGATCTAACCACGGATGTAAGAGCGTCGCCTTACATCGGATATGAACGCTTAAATAGAAATTAAATTCGAAGTAAGTTCTCAAAATGGTAGAGCCTCGTGCTGATAACGTGTTATAAAATAACGACTGTAAAGTAAATAAACTGAAGACAAGTATAGAGAGAAACTGATATATTATTCAACTTTCAAACTGATGTATATAATGAAGTGAAATCTCCTCTATTTATAGAAGAAAGGAAGCTGCTTTGTAAGCTACTTGTAAGTTGCTACTGCAAGCTGCTGTGTAAGCTGCTTGTAAGTTACCTGTAAGCTGCTATTGTACCAGATATAGATAATCTTCTACGGGGGGTAATATTTATCCGTAACGGAGCGAAATGATAAGCTTCTTCAGGAGGCTTATTTCCAATAGAGTACCAAATAGATAAATATATTTACGGCAGAGTCTCATATGGATAAACTTCTCCAGAAAGCTTATTTACAACGGAGTACTAAATGAACATCCATAATATAATATATATTTATAACATTGTTGAAATTTTAACTAAGACATGAATTTGCGATATTTCCGCAAGTATTACTCTTATTAAGCGAACAAAATTAAGATGGCATATATACTCTTATTTTACTTTCATTGCTCTTATTATTTTAAAGTACTTTAAGGTCGAGCCTTGAGTTTCTACATATAAAAATAATCTATATTTTTATGGTTAATGAATAAATAAATCTTTTTACACTGAAAGAGGTCTTTTTAACTGTTCTTATACTTTTTTGGTGAGTATGACTTTTGGAAAACAAATAAATAATTTACTTATTTTTTTGAGTAAAATAAGAAAATAACTTTGTTAGGTGAATTTATCAACTTGAGTGATCTTTTTGAGGAATTAGCTCGTATATTAAGTAGTACTCGGTAGGTGTAGTAATCTTTTTCATGTAAATAGGGTAAGAGAGGTAAGTATAGTATTTATTGATTTAACTATGGTTGGTAAAACTTCACTGTTCAAAACTTTTGTTCTTACTGTGAAAAAAGAAATTATTTTAAAAAGCATGTGGGGGGAGCGAATTTCTCGAATATCTAAAAGGGGTGACGTAATGGGGCTAATTAAATGACCACTGACCAATGGTAAAGTTTGGACCAGAGCTAAAAATAGGGCCCAGAGCCCAAGGTAGAAAGGAGTAATTGTCTGTCTTAACTTGGTTAATCGTGTACAACTTTTCTTTATCATCATCCGTCACGTGACTTACCTTTTTGAAGACTTTTTGAGCCAAATTATGTACCACATACAGACAGAAATTTACAGTACTATAGCTTCAACAGGTTAGGTTTAGCTTAGTTGACTGCTGTCCAAATCTCCTCGACTTATTTTTACAGTTTTGACTACCGTTAGAAACTCATACCAAGATTTGTAACCTACGGTCTATGCAGCATTTTTGTTTGCTTTTGAAAATAACGTGTCATTTTTTTTTGAAACTAACCAATAAAAAAAATGTATATTTAATTTAAAACGAGAAAGTAATACATAATTAGTAGTTTGTGTGCAAAGGTAGAACCTGAATTTGAAGCGTATTGAAGTTATTGAATTCTACTCTCCCCCGCTCCGTTTTTGCGCATCTAACTCATTTTACGAGTAAGTGCTATCTTTTAATACATGTATTGTATTACATAACTTTATCTGTCAAAGCTTACGTAGATTAGGATAAATTATTGATAATTTATTTTTCTTTATTGAAATTTGAACCTTAATCTGATTAAGTTTTTATACACTTTATTAATAATTAGACTTCAATCTTGGTTAATATGAAAATTACTCCACATGTTTCAAATTATATGACAGTTTCATATGTTATGGAGTTTAAGAATTTTTTTTTTATACTTGTAGTTGAAATATATTATAAAATTTGTATGGCTATAAATTTTTTGAATCTTGGAATTTTAAATTTGACATCTAGTTGTATCGCATTATGAGTTTATTATTAAAAGTAAGATGAAACAGATTAATAAGTGATAAGGATAAGCCACAAATAGCTTATCTCATTGTAGGTTTAAATTAATCTTTTATAACATTCTATCCATATTAATTTTTATAGTTTCTATTTTATTACAATTCTAAATCCATTTAACTCTATCACTATAAATCATTGTTTAATGTTATTATACAATCAAGGTTCTACAACATTTGTTTTACGTCTCTATGGTATCAGAGCAAAGCAAACTGTTACAAATCTGTTCAATTCTTCTCACTATCAAAATTTCAGCACTCTTACAATATAGTGATATATAAACTGGAATTGAAGGAGTATTAGGTTGCAACTCTAAACTTACTTTAAATGTTATTAAAAATAAAATGATAATTATTGGTCAAAAACTTATTGAATATTGTAAAAAATATATTTTTTGATACATATTAACAACCGACAATAATCACAAATCCAGTTTAATCTCATAAATGGGATCTGAATAAATAGGATCTGAAAAAGATAGTGTGTACGCAAACCTTACCCTACCTTATAGAAATAGAAATACTGTCTATGATTGACCCTCAGTGTAAAAAAATAATGGAAATAAAGCAACCAAGTAGCAAAGAATTAATAATAACAATAATGTAATAGGGTTAAAAGACGTAATGACACACATTTAGGTTTGATAAATAAGTTTTATACTAGGTTTGTCGTTAGCTTAGACAAAATCACATAAAATCAAGAAAGTACTGCTACTACTTTTGCCGCAATAAATTAATGGTGATGATAACGTTAAAAGAACTGGTCCAAAGTCCAAAGCAGGTAAAACATTTCATTTCCCTACAGCCTTATAATGGCTTCTTGCCCAGAATTCAGATTCTTTTTTTCTCACTCTGCTCTGCGCGTTAAGGACACACACACTTTACACATACACACACAGTGAGTACTAAGCTTATGTACTACTACCCCCTCCCTCCTACCACAGCCTCCTGCTTTTTTCTTTCTTACGTACTGTCTTTGTCCCCATTAATTTCCCATTGCTGTCACTGTACAAGTCAAGTGAAGTTGTGAACAGAAAACATAGGGTCCATTTTCTTTTTTTCACTTGTTTTTTTTGATTTCTCTGCTCTGTTCACAGAAAAAAGATTACAACTTTGCATTTACAAAGACCCCTTTTGAACAGTATATTCATTTAGTGTGTGTGTGTGTGTTTTTTTTTTTTTGTGGGGGTATAAAAAGAGGGAAGCAAAAGAAAATATGCAGCAGCACCTGATGCAGATGCAGCCCATGATGGCAGCCTACTATCCAACGAACGTAACTACTGACCATATTCAACAGGTCTTTCTTCTTCTCCCCCTCTCTGCTTCTTCTCTTCTTCTGCTCAGCTCACTGCTTTAGTCCTTTGATCAGAAAATCTGCCATTTATCTGCTGCTCCTTTTGTGCATACAGTATATACACTACTCTAGTTATTATTGTGTGATGATAGCGGCCAGGCAGGTAGGGTGAGTTATGTGTACATATTACCTTTTTCAAACCCCACCTGTGAGATTACACTGGGTTTGTTATAATTGTTGGTAGCCAGCTAGGTATACTTTGGTTGCTACTTTTGCTATGACAAAAGGTGTTTGGGGTCAGCTTGTACATATTTCAGCTGTTTTTTCGAACACCTGTGACTTTCAATCAACATAAGTATTTGGTTAGTGATTTTTTGGTTGCTATTTTTTTTTATGACAAGGGTGTTTGGGATCAACTTGTACACAATTCGATTATTTTATCTGGCACCTGTTACCATTAACCTGCACAGATATCGGGTAGTTCTATCTATTAAGGAAATGGTAGATGGAAGAAAATAAACTAGCGTTCATGTTCTTCTCGCTCATTTTCTTGACTAATAGGTCATACCCTTGGATATTATACTTTGGTTGCTTATTCTTGGCTGTTAATAGTTGTAATTTTTGTTTTTCATATTATTTGGTTAGTCTTGCTAAAAGGGTACCTATTTTATGGTTATAGTCTGCTCTTTTTCTCACTTTCTTGAACTTTTGAGCTACTTTTCCATATACAATAGAGAAAAAAGAAATGAGTAGGTTTTGAGTTTCTTTTTGTTAAGAAATGAGTAGGTCTGAAAAGTAACTATGCTGAAATGCAGTTTGTAGACTGCTAAAGCTAGTGTTTAATTTGTGCCCTAAAAACGAAAAATTTTATTTTGTGTCTTCCACAGCTGACACTAGTTGTATGAGACCTTTTTTTTGTATCACAATTGTGTGGTACCTGAATTTTGTGGACCTAGATGTGTAAGATTTGGGTCCACAAATATGTGAGACAAAAATATTTTGTGTGAGACACAAAATAAAACCAATCCCTAAAAACTTTTGGTACATTTAGGGAATCAACAAACAAGTCCTTTGTTTCATTTTTTAATAACGGTGGTGTCGAAACTCGACCATTTCATGTCATACTTGTTACCTTCCACCGGCGTGGAGTATAAGGTTACTCTATAGGCTTAAACAAATGAGGAAGAACTCTCCTATAAAGTTCAAGTAGCCTGCATTATTAACAGAAGAGATGCAAATAATGCCTTGGTATTAGTATGAGGGAATAAACTTTTTGCTGTTTTGGCTGTTTATATATGAGATTTTGGGCATTATATGATGTTATTTTAACATTTGCTTATACTGGGGCTTTCTATTATTCTATGTTAGTATTTGGACGAGAACAAATCACTGATTCTAAAGATTGTTGAGAGCCAGAACTCAGGGAAACTCAGTGAATGTGCAGAGTAAGTAAAGTTTTCACTTATTTTATTGTAATTATTTTGGTTTATTTGAGACCCTCGAGGAAGTAAAGTTTACTTTTTTAAGAGTCCGAAACTTTTTTGATGATTTTTTAGACACAAAGCACATTTTTAATGTTAAAAAAATTTTACACAAATAGGTAATTCGCTGTATTATATTGCGAATTACTTTAACGGAAATATAGCCGTTAAAGTAAATCGCAGTATTGCGAATTATTAAAAATTATTTTTTTTTATGCAATTCGCAGTACTATACTGCGAATTGCTTAAAATGGGCCCAGCTCTTTTTTCAAAAGGCATTTTGCAGTATTATACTGCGAATTAGGTAATTCGCAGTATAATACTGCGAATTGCCTTTTGAAAATACAACCCTTCTTCTTCCTTGGACCGACAGAAACTCCCCCACACCATTATAATACTTCTCTGCCCAAATCCAGTCCTCCACCCTCCGTGATTTAAAAAAAAAAAATTCGGCCCCACCCGTCACCTTAAGAGCAAAGAGTGTAGGTCCCAGGCACAAGACAAGCTTTGGATTCGTTCTTTCGAATATAAATTCCATTTCACTCAAATTCTAAAAACTTAAATCGAGGTATTTCGATTTTATTTATACAGAAACTCGTACAGTACATGCATATTTGTATTGTTTAATGTGTTTCCATGTTAATTTGTGTTATGTTTGTCTTTAAATTTGTATCTTATTTATACATGACTTGATTTATTAATTTTGGTGAAAAAAAAGTTAAAAGTTGATAAGTTATTTGTATTTTAAATGTTATATTTTTATTTGTTTAAATGAAAAACTAATATCATTTTTTTTGTTTGTTGTTCATATTTGTATTTTATGTTAGTTGTTTTTATATGTAATAGTGACCTTTTAGCGTAGTTAAATAAATAGCCTTTTAGTGTAGTAAAATATAGAGCCTTTTAGTGTAGTAAAATATATAGCCTTTTAGCGTTGTAGAGCTTTTTAGATTACACTTTACAAAAATTAATTATTTATTTTATAACAATAAATTGCAAAAGTAACAAATTAATATATATTGTAAAATTAACTCCAATATCGAGCCTGATACCCATATATAATTATTTAGTTCAATACTAAACATAATTAATTATTTAATTTATTAAGCTGATAAAATTGTAAAATTATTGAAATTGACACACGTAATAATTAAGGATAACTCGGTGCTACCGGACGTCAAAAATCGAGCCTGAAACCCATACATAATTATTCAGTCCAATATTAAACATAATTAATTGTTTAATTTATTAATCTAATAAAATTCTAAAAATGTTGAAATTGGCACGCATAATAATTAAGGATACGTCGGTGCTACCGGACCTCAAAAATCAAGCGTGGAACCCATACACGAATGGGGTTCCCGTCAAGTACACGAATGGGGTTCCCGATCATCAGTCGGGTGTGACGGCGGTACCACTCAGTATACAGATGAATAGTGGCCTCCTGGGTAAATGTAGTTGGTGGCGGAATACGCCCAACTCGCTCCTTCCAATAAACTATCTGCTGCTGTAGCCATCCCATATACCGCTGGTCCATGCTGGCACGGTCGTCCCGCTGATAGTGTGTAGCCTCCCATCCAGGCTCCCTCGGTATAGGCTGGGGACGGTGAAACTATCGAAGCACACGCTCTGTGGCATGATACTCAACGTGATCGAAGAAGATCATCGGGACAAAGGTGCTCTAAAGCAGCCGGTCGAATGAGCAACAAGCGAGAAGCTGAGCAACCAACTCGACGCTGTATGGCGTCCAGATGAACTACCAAATAATAATATAAAAGTGAGTACGCGCGACACAATTCAATTTAAAACAAGCAAGTGTAGGTACATTTTTACCCGTCCGTCCACCAACATATCTAACACATCCCTCATAAGGGGGAGATTATGATGAGCATCGCTCCCTCGGTAGTTCTCACGCCGGAGAATCCACCTGACAGCTAGAGGGAGAAACGGATAAGCCTCACCGGGCGGAAGTGGTGGTAGAGGTGGCTGCAACGGCATGATCCGCTGCCAGGCCCAAACCTAAGAGAAAAGGTTGATGTAAAATTTATGAGTCATTTCACGATATAGAATTCGGAGTAATGAACAGAGTATTCGAAAATTTTGTCACCTGTAGGAGGGGCAGAAAACCACATATATCCACCGCTGGGCCCATGCTCGCCCGGCACATGCTCCTATACAGGTATGCCAGAACAGCAGCACCCCAGCTGTACTGGGGTAACTCATCCAGCTGCTGGAGATGATGGAGAAAGCGCATAGTCACTCTACTCCCCGAAGTGTCCGGGAACAAGACACACCCGAAAAGCAGGAGCAACGCCAACCACGTGTACCTCTCAATCCAAAGATCCTCCGTCTTCCCAGTAATGTCTGGGTGCAAAAACAACATCTGATCTCTAATGGCTGACAAAAGAACGCGACTGCCCCCAGCGCCACCCTCTGGTCTAAAACCAGTAAACTCCCCCATCATATCCAAAAACTGGGCACGCATCATCCCTCTAATGTACTGGGCAGTGCCACGGCCCGCCCATCTACGCGCAGCCCGTATAAAACCTGAACATCCTCCAGCGTGATAGTGGCCTCTCCGGTGGACAAGTGAAAAGTATGCGTCTCCGATCGCCACCGCTCTACCAACGCCGTGATGAGAGACAATTCGAGCTGCATCCGTCCAAGCGTCCAAGCTCAAAAATCGTATAGAAGCCCGTAGCCTGTAGGCGCTCGACTACACGGCCATGGAAAGGATGCTCCGCGATAAACTCCCACAAATCGTCGGGTCTCCTGCGGCGGAGAGACTGCTCCGATAGCTGTCCCTCCCATACAAAGGAGGACCTATGGTCGCCCTGCAGCACTAATAGCTGATCCTCGGCAGGTCCAGGATGCGCAGGCGGAGGAAAGGCCATGTCGTCTACTATAATTTAAACAAAATTTATTGTGTGTGTTAGTTTAATAAATTAAATAATTAATTATGTTTAGTACTGGACTGAATAATTACGTAGGTTCCAGGCTCGATTTTAAGGCCCGGTAGCACCAAGCTATCCTTAATTATTATGTGTGTCAATTTCAACATTTTTAGAATTTTGTTAGTTTAATAAATTAAATTAAAAATTCTTGAATTGGACTGAATAATTAAGTATGGGTTCCAGGCTTGATTTTTGAGGCCCGGTAGCACCGAGTTATCCTTAATTATTATGTGTGTCAATTTCAATATTTTTAGAATTTTATTAGCTTAATAAATTAAATAATTAATTATGTTAATATTGGACTGAATAATTATGTATGAGTTCCATGCTTGATTTTTGAGGCCCGGTAGGCCGAGTTATCCTTAATTATTATGCGTGTCAATTTCAATATTTTTAGAATATTATTAGCTTAATAAATTAAATAATTAATTATATTTAGAATTAGACTGAATAATTAAGTATGGGTTCCAGGCTTGATTTTTGAGGCCCGGTAGCACCGACTTATCCTTAATTATTATGCGTGTCAACTTCAATATTTTTACAATTTTGTTAGCTTAATAAATTAATTATGTTTAGTATTGGACTGAATAATTATGTATGGGTTCCATGCTCGATATTGGAGTTAATTTTACAACATATATTAATTTGTTACTTTTGTAAGTTTATTGTTATAAATTAAATAATTTATTTTTGTAAAGTGTAATCTAAAAGGCTCTACTACACTAAAAGACTCTATATTTTACTACGCTAAAAGGCTATTTATTTTACTACGCTAAAAGGTCACTATTACATATAAAAACAACTAACATAAAATATAAAATATGAACAACAAACAAAAAAAAACTAATATTAATTTTTTATTTAACCTAAATAAAAACATAACATTTAAAATACAAATAANATTATGTTTAATATTGGACTGAATAATTATGTATGGTTCCAGGCTCGATTTTTGAGGCCCGGTAGCACCGAGTTATCCTTAATTATTATGTGTGTCAATTTAAATATTTTACAATTTGGTAAGCTTAATAAATTAAATAATTAATTATGTTTAGTATTGGACTGAATAATTATGTATGGGTTTCAGGCTTGATTTTTGAGGCCCGGTAGCACCGAGTTATCCTTAATTATTATGCGTGTCAATTTCAATATTTTTACAATTTTGTTATCTTAATAAATTAAATAATTAATTATGTTTAATATTGGACTGAATAATTATGTATGGGTTCCAGACTCGATATTGGAGTTAATTTTACAACATATATTAATTTGTTACTTTTGTAAGTTTATTGTTATAAATTAAATAATTAATTTTTGTAAAGTGTAATCTAAAATGCTCTACTACGCTAAAAGGCTATATATTTTACTACACTAAAAGACTCTATATTTTACTACGCTAAAAGGCTATTTATTTTACTACGCTAAAAGGTCACTATTACATATAAAAACAACTAACATAAAATATAAATATGAACAACAAACAAAAAAAAATAATATTAATTTTTTATTTAACCAAATAAAAACATAACATTTAAAATACAAATAATTTATCAACTTTTAACATTTTTTTTTACCAAAACTAATAAATCAAGACGTGTATAAATAAGATACAAATTTAAACACAAATTAATATGGAAACGCATTAAACAATACAAATATGCATGTACTATACGAGTTTCTACATAAATAAAATCGAAATATCTCGATTTAAGTTTTTTGAATTTGATTGAAATGAAATTTTTACACTCGAAAGAAGGAATCTAAAGCTTGTGTTGTGCCTGAGACCTACACTCCCTGCTCTTAAGGTGACGGGTGGGGCCGAATTTTTTTTTTTTTTTAAATCACGGGGGGTGGGAGACCAAATTTGGGCAGAGGAGTATTTTAATGGGGTGGGGGAGTTTCTGTCGGTCCAAGGAAGAAGAAGGGTTGTATTTTCAAAAGGCAATTCGCAGTATAAGCAAATTACCTAATTCGCAGTATAATACTGCGAAATGCCCTTTAAAAAAAGAGCTGGGCCATTTTAAGCAATTCGCAGTATAGTACTGCGAATTGCGTAAAAAAAATAATTTTTAATAATTCGCAGTATTATACTGCGAATTACTTTAACGGCTAAATTTACGTTAAAGCAATTCGCAGTATAATTATGCGAATTACTTATTTGTGTAACTTTTTTTTTTAACATTAAAAATGTGCTTTGTGTCCAAAAAAATCATAAAAAAAGTTTCGGACTCACTTTTTTAAGACTTATTACTGAAGGCCACACTGGTTTTTTAAGTAATGCTATATGTCAACACAATCTCTAGTCACCTACTTACTGTAATAACCAAGATTTTATGTTGTCATCAGTTCTAGATTTTTGGTCTCATCAGTAACATTTTTGAATCTTGAACATTGAAAAATATTATAAACTAGGAAAAAAGTAAGGGAAATAACTTTGTACTATTATGCATCCATTAAATAAAAGTTTATTTTGGTTAGATGTGATAGCTACTTTTTGTTGTGGCAGGAACCAGGCTAGGCTTCAGAGGAATCTAATGTACCTTGCTGCTATTGCTGATTCTCAACCTCAACCTTCTAGCATGCATTCCCAGGTAATATAGCTTTTTCTTGATTTTTGTTAGACTCTCACATTGCTTGTGAGAATGTACAGTAGTCTCTTTAGGGGTTGTTTGGTAGGATGAATAATCAAAAATAATCCTTGAATAATATTTAGTACTGCTTTATCCCTTGTTTGATTACTAATTATGGGATAAGTAATCCCAAGATTAAAATAATACCGGAATAACTTATACATGCCAGAAGGTGGAATAATCCCAGGATAAGTTATCACAGGATAGAACAATAAAATTGACAATCCCAGAATTAATACAACATACCAAACGTTCTAAAAGGAAATAAAAATAGGATAACTAATCCTAGTATAACTTCTGTCAAACCACTTCTATTTCTATACTAGGCTACTCAAAAATAATTAAAGATAACTAGTTTCCATAATAAAGGAGATTAGTACCTGGAAAAATTAGGCATAATGTAAAAAAGAAAATATAATATCATATTCGTGTTAAATCCATCTGTTGATATGATCTTCGACAATTCTATCTTTTTTCTTAGTAAATTTTCGTAGTTTACATATTGTTTCTAATTGGACCTCTTGATTAACTGTTGCGGATATAGCCTTAGTGTACGGGTTCAGCTGAACTTATTGCTAGGAAGAAGTTGAACCTATCATGTTAAAATCTTGAATTTGCTTGTGCCTTTCATCATTGTTTCCTCTTCATCCTTTCCAGTCTTAACTTTGTTTTAAGAACTGTTCAATGTAATGTACTTTGTGTAGTTTGGTTCTGGTGGGATGATGCAGCCAGGAACACATAATTACTTGCAGCAACAACAAGCCCAACAAATGACAACACAGTCACTTATGGCCGCACGATCCTCCTCAATGCTCTATGGACAACAACAACAACAACAACAACAATCACTATCCCCATATCAACAAGGTTTGCATAGCCAACTTGGTATGAGCTCAGGCAGTGGAAGTACTGGACTTCACATGATGCAAAGTGAAGCATCAGGTCACGGCGTAAGTGGAGGTTTTCCTGACTTTGGCCGTGGAAATAAGCAAGATATTGGGGCGCTGTCTGCTGAAGGGCGCGGTGGAAGTTCAAGTGGACATGGTGGAGATGGTGGTGAGAATCTTTATTTGAAATCTGCTGATGATGGTAACTAAGGGTACTATGATAGGAGGAACTTAATTAATTAGGAACAAGATTTAGTTTGGAAGAATTGTGCTCAAGTGATGGACTTCTACCTTTTTCGATCAATAGTATGTTTAATGCACGAGAAACTGCATTTTATGGTTGTATGTCTAAATGTCATGTACATTTGTTAGGTTATTTTGATTTTAATAATTGCCTTTCTTGGTGACTTTTGATGAATTTGTTTGGGTGGTTTTGCTTTGCTTGAAAGTAGAAGCGAATTAAAATATATATTTGTGCCCAAATGGGCATGAAATTAGTATATGCTTGCTTACTTTTGATCTTTATACTAAAACCAGGCAATTTAATTGTACAAAAATTTAACAGAGAGCCATATATATATATATATATATATATATATATATATATATATATATATATATATATATATATATATATATATATATATATATATATA